CGCCATCAATGGAGGGAAGGGGGAGGGTGTGGGGAGGGTGTTGCTGTTAAATTTTTTGTGCCCTCCCCCCCCCCCCCCCCCCCCCCCCCCCTCCCTCGGTTCCCGCCATTAAGCGTCGAGAGCAAAAACCATTCAAAGTTTTGCAAAGCTGGCGCGCCACCCAAACAACGGCGCGGTTTGTTGGCCAGCACGGAGTGTAACGTGGTAGACAAGGGCACACGCTTGACTCTCTTCCGAACCAGCCCCAGTAGTGACGTAGCGGAAGGCCCTCTTTGTCAACCTACTGCTCTCTGTCCTCTCCTTCTCTCTCTTTCTCTTCACCCTCGTGCAGAGCATGTCGCGAATGCCCAGGTACCGGGCGCCGCAGCGCAAGGCGCGCCGGAACGAAGACTACCGCCCATCGACGGCGCCGGCCACGCTCAAGGCACGGCCGGGCAACAACATCACGGTCGCGGTGCGCGTGCGGCCGCCGACTCGGCGCGAGTCTGCAGCGTATGGGTCTGTGGTCAAGGTCCACCCGCCGGACTCGCTGGTCTTTGACGGAGTAGAGGCCGACCGGGCGGGCGTGCCAGCGCACGTCCGCGGCGCGGCGCGCAACAAGGCGTACACCTTTGACGCGGTGTTTGGCGACAATACCGGGACTGCGGAGGTGTTTGCAATGACTCTGCCGCTGCTCGACGACGTGCTCGCCGGAGTCAACGCGTGCGTGTTTGCCTATGGCGCGACCGGCGCCGGCAAGACGTACACCATGGCCGGCACGCCGTCAGAGCCAGGAGTGATGGTGCGGATGGTGGAGCACCTGCTGCAGCGGATGGCAGTTGCGGATGAGGCGTACGAGCTCTCGATCTCGTACCTCGAGATCTACAACGAGAAGATCTTCGATCTACTCGTGCCGTCGTCAGGCCCGCTCCCGCTCCGTGCTGATGGCAAGGGCGGCGTGACCGTGGCCGGCATGTCAAGCCATAACCCGCGGACGATTGACCAGGTCATGCAGCTGCTCGACCACGGCAATGCAAACCGGACGCAGGCACCCACAGACGTCAATGCCACCTCGTCGCGGTCGCACGCACTGTTTGAGATTACAGTCACCTCCCCGCGGCACGTGGGCAAGATGACGCTCATCGATCTTGCCGGCTCGGAGCGGGCGTCTAAGACCAACAACCGTGGCGTCCGCCTTCGGGAGGGCGCCAAGATCAACCGCTCGCTCCTCGCGCTCGGCGGATGCATCCGTGCGCTGTGTGACGGCTCGTCGCACGTCCCGTTCCGCAACTCCAAGTTGACCCGGATGTTGGCCGACTCGCTCGGCGGCAGCTCGCGGACGGTGGTCCTGGCATGCGTGGCGCCTACGGCGTCGAGCTACGAGGACACGTTCAACACGCTCCATTACTGCGAGCGGATGAAGAAGGTCCGCAAGCGCAAGGCTGTGAGCAACGCGCGGAACCTGGCGCCGGCCGACGTCATCGCCGCGCTTCGGGCCGAGATTGCCGAGCTCAAGGCTGCAGGCCCATCGCGGAGCCGCCAGCGCGATGCGTCGCGGCTGGATGCGTTCCGAGCACAGATTGCGGCACAGGCACCTGCCAATCTCGACTCGCCGATGCTGCCGCCGCACATGCGGCGGATTGTGTCAACGGCAGCAGCTGAGCTCGCCTCGCCGTCCAAGCGCGATCTGGTCAAGATGGCGGCGGCCAATGTCCAGCTCAAGCTCGAGATCACCAAGCTCCGGGCGGTGGTTCATGCTGGCCAGCCGCGGTCGCCATCGGCGTCGCCGGCGGCACTCACGGCCTCACTGCTCAACTCTCCGAGCCCTGTCCGACTGTCATCAGCAACGCGGTCTGCGGTTGTCCCGGGTGCGGGCGTCCAGTTTGCTGCCTCTCCGTCGATGGTCCGATTGGCATCGGCCTCGCCGTCGGCCTCAGGTGATGGCGACGACGAGTCGGACGAGTCGACACTTGCGCTCCGCGAGCGGCCGTTTACTTCGGCAGGGGTCACGACTGCAGCCGGACGCGATGCAAGCGATGGCACAGCGGGTCTGGCGCTGGCGGACCTCTCGGCGACCTCGCTCTCGCCGATCGACAAGCGCGGCTCGGTGCTTGTGGTCAACACACCGCGGATGACGCCGCCGCCGCGGAAGCGGCGGGTCATTGCGCGTAAGCGCATCGGGCGGCGCAAGGTGGTGACGCGCCCTGTCGATGACAACAAGGAAAACTCACCGATGACATCGCTCGAGGCGCTCGCCAACTGGCAACCGCCGCGCAAACCGCGCATGGCCCGTGTGGGCCAGGCTGCGCGCGCCCGCGGCGGCGTGTGGAAGTAACTCGCAATGCGAGCCTTGTCAAACCTTGTATCCTACTTTCCCTCCACATCGGGGCGCTTGAACTAAACAGCCTTGACTACGGCGTCGGCGATGAGCTGATCAATCTCAGCCGCCGAGAGGTTGAGCGTCGACTCGAGGACCGAACGGGTGTGCTCGCCGTGGAGAGGCGGCGGGAGGCGGATGGAGCCAGGCGTAGCCGAGTACTTGACCGGAAGGCCGACGAGCGAGACCGGGCCGGCAGTTGGGTGGTCGATGGTGGCAACCATGTCACGGGCGGCAACCTGCGGGTTAGCAAAGGCCTCATCCATCGAGTTGATGGGCCCGGTGGCGAGGCCGAGCGAGGCAAAGAAGGCCTCGCACTCGGCAGTTGTGCGGATTGCGGTGAACGACGAGAGGAGGCCAACAAGCTCCTCGCGGTGGGCGACGCGCAGCGCGTTGGTGCCAAACAGCTCGGGTGCGTCGGCAAGCTGGGGCAACTCGTCGTGGAGCGCGGCGGCGAGTTTGGCAAACTGAGCATCGGTGGTGGCGCCGACAATGATGTAGCCGTCGTCGTCGGCGGTAGGGAAGGCCTGATACGGGACGATGGACTCATGCGCGGTGCCCCAGCGCTTGCCATTCTTGCCGCCGATCAGGTAGTTGGAGCCGATGTTGACAAGGCACGCCAGCTGGGTCTCAAACAGCGAAAGGTCGACCTTCTGGCCTTCGGGCGGCGCAAGGCCGCGCTCGCGGGCAAGGAGCGCCGATGAGATGGCACCCTGAGCCAGCATGCCGGTTGCAATGTCTGTGATAGCAACACCAACCTTGACCGGCGGCCCATCGGCCTCGCCGGTGATACCCATGAGGCCGCCCATGCCGGCGGCGATGACGTCGTAGCCGGCGCGAGTGGCGAGCGGACCGTCGGGCCCAAATCCAGTGATTGAGGCGTAGATCAGGCCGCCGCGGGTGTTGCCTGGTGCCAGCGAGTCAAAGTCCAAGCCAAGCTGAGCGAGCTTGCCTGGCACAAAGTTCTCAACGACGACGTCCGAGACGGCGGCGAGCGCCTTGATGAGCGCCACGCCGCGCTCGCTCTTAAAGTCGACGGCGATGGACGACTTGTTGCGGTTGACGCAGAGAAAGTAGGCCGACTCACTAGCCTCGTCTGTGTCGTCGATCCGCTCTGCAAACGGCGGGCCCCACTTGCGGGTCGGATCGCCACCTGCCACAGCCTCGACCTTGATGACCTCTGCGCCCAGGTCGCCGAGCATCTGCGCCGATCCCCCCCATCGCTGTCATGTGAGTCACGCGGCCGGGCCCGTGCTCGGCTCCGAATGCCACGTCTCAACCCTTACCATGGTGCAGTACGGCCCAGCAAGGATGCGTGACAGATCCAGGACCCGGATGCCCTCAAGCGGGCCGTGAGCGAGGCCAGCTGCGGCGGAACTCGCACTCGCCGCACTCACGCGCCGAGCAGCGGCGGCCATTCGGCCTAGCCAGCGAGAGGCTGAGAGCATGGGCAGGAGAGGAGATAGAGAGAGAGAGAGAGAGGCGCCTCTGTGTTTGGTGTAAGTGTGGGTTTGAAAGGTCGGTGTACAGGGTGGGGTGGTGGTGGGTGAGAGAGGAGCTGGGTCGAGGTCGAGCGGCCCGAGCTCGGGCCATGCGCTGGTCGGGTCGGGTTTGGGTCAGCCTCTTGGGAAGGGGGGTTCGATCACGAGGTGGGTGTGGCGTCAGTGTCGGTCTCGGCGTCGGTGTCGGTGCCGGTGTCGGCCTTGGTCTCGGGATCGGTGGTGACAGCGGCCGTGGGGAGCTCGACGATGACATCGGCGCCCGAGTGCGGAATGGTGACCGGGGCCGAGGGCGAGGGGCGGGACGAGCTATGTCGCGCAGCAGTCGGGGAGGCGCAAAAGGCTGTCGGCGATGCGGTTGGTGACGGGAATGATGGGCCGAGGCCGTAGCCGTAGCCGTAGCCGTAGTGGGCGGGCGATCTAGGCGAGGATACGGAGCGGAGAACAGGCGGGACCCGAGGCGAGGATACGGCCGGATACGCCCGGGGCGAGGCGGGGGCGTATCCTGACGACGGCGAGCCCATGGCAAAGGAGAAGGTAGCCAGTGGAGTCGGATACATGTACGAGCCGCCCATAGGGTACGGCGATGCCGCCAGAGGCGAGGCCGAGCCATGCGCATGCCCGGGCTGTGGGCGGTAGAGGTGAGAGCCCTTGGGGTAGTATGCCCACATGGAGGCGGTAATTGAAAATAGGGCTGTGAAGGTTGTGTGTGTGGTGGGGATGGGGTAGGGGTAGGGGTGGGGGTGGTGTGTGTGGGTGGGTGGGTGGGGGGGGGGGGTGCGGGTTGGTGCAAGTCGCCATGCCAAGTTTGGCATGCCGAGTCGGATCCCCCTGACCGAGGGGGTGGGTGGGGT